TAAATAATGTAGGAAAGAGAAAACACAGAACTGTTGGAAAAGAGACACAATTCACACTTTTTTTGTAGAAAATGTGATTTTGTACTATTGGCACTATTAAGAATTCAATTTGCTGTTCATATAGATAATAATTATCACAATTCAATGGCTTTTGTGTGTATTAGCAATAAAATGGGAGAATATTATATGAAAAAGTGTATTCATTGTTGCAACTGAAAATATAAAACAATAAAAAGCTTATTACTGTTTATAAAATAAAACTTAAATACATGGAACAATGTGTGTAAATTTCTTAAAATTTTAATTAGATGTCTCATTTAATTCCCATCTGAATTTCATCTGGAAATATAAAGAAGTGAACAATTAAAAATTTAAGAAGGAATAATGAGAGCTGTGTCCTATCCAGATAGTGAAATGAATTATACTATGACAGCAATTTAAAACAGTGTGGTGCTGGCACACAATTGATTGAAAGATCAGGGGAGCATAGCAGGACTCCTGGATCATCCCTAAGCACCGTGGTTTGCAGTTCATTTCAGAGACCCTGAAAATGCCCAGAAGTTTCTTCAGCCATGAGAGAGGATGGGGCCTCTGAGATCTCTCATCTCCACCTCAATAAGAACAGCTCGGCTTTTGTGCATTTTATATAAGGAGTTCTCACATTTATATGTTGGTTTCACCTCCAAAAGGGTTTTCATTGCCCTAATATTAATAGGTGGTAGAGGGTGCCTCACTAATCATGACAGGCTTATGAAATAAATAATGTTGGGGAACCTTGACTTATTAATAGGAGGTAGGAAAATTGAGTTGGTGCTTCACATTGTACAAAAAGATAAATGCCAGATGGATTTGAAAATAAAAACGTAAGAATACTTGAAAGAAGTATTTTTAGATATTAGCATGATCGCTGGATAAAAGGAATTTCTAAACATAAGAGTAGTAGATGTCACAATGGAAAAATCTGATAGCATTCTTAATATGAAAATAGAAAACTTTGCATATCACTCTAAAATATCCAAAAAGTAAGCAACTGAAGGGATAAATATCACTAACATGCAAAACAACGAGTAGTATTCTTACTTTATAAGTAGATTTTACACATTAATAAGAAAAAAATAGAATTAGCCCGTGTTATATCTTTTCCCACATAATATTCATTTGAAAAAAATCTTTATCCTCATCAGTATTTGCAGGAGTGTAATAAAAATAACAATGTATTGCTACTTATTTGACCTCCTAAGATAATGCTTGATGCACGCTGCCGTGAAGGAGGTGGATTCAGTTCTCCGTGGTGAGAGTATAAATTGTTAAAATCTTTCTGCAAACAACTGGCAGTGTGTCAAGAGACATCAGAAAAATGTTATGTTCAGTGTATTTTTTGGGTATTTGTATTTATTAATTTAAGTTTCAAAACAATGTGAGTGATGCCTACCACTCTCAGTAAAGCGTTAATATGCCCATTTTGAAGAATTCAAATTACATGGAGAAAAGTAAGACAGCTAATAGTATGTACATGTATTTTACATAATTATAATTATATTAAAACTAATAGGTATGAATAGAAAAACCAGAAAGAAAACACATGTTAGCAGTAATTAATGTTCTTGATTGTAGGCTTGTGGGTGCATGTTGTTTTCAATAAAATGGGTATGAGTTTGCATTTTTCTAATTTTTACTAGCAGAAAACAAGATTATTTTAAATAATTAACAATGGCAAACTTTAAAATTGGGTTTCCTGCCCTGGCTGGTTTGGCTCAGCAGTTAGATCGTCGGCCCGCGGACCGGAGAGTCCCAGGTTCGGTTCCCGCTAAGGGCACGTACCTCAGTTACAGTTTGTCCCCAGTGCTGGTTGGGGTTATGTGGGTGGCAACCAGTTGATGTGTCTCTCTCACATCAATGTTTCTCTCTCTCTCTTTCTCCCTCTCTCCCTCTTGCTCTAGCTGAAGATGAATGTAAAAATGTCCTTGGGTGAGGATAAAAATAAAATAAAATAAAATTGGGTTTCCTAGTTTGTCCCAATTACATTATTATTGCCGAAACCAGTTTGAACCTGTTGTGATGATGTGAAATATTTATTGGATATATTTCTGGAAAAATCATATTGTGATAGTCTTAAAAATCCTACTCCCTTCCCTGGTTTATTGAATCCTTGGGCCCCATTTTCTTTTATTATTATTATTTTTTTAATCCTCACCCGAGGACATTTTTCCATTTTTTGTACAGATAGAGTGGGAGGGAGAGAGAGGGAGAGAGAGGAAGAGAGAGAGAGAGAGAGACATCGACGTGAAGGGACACATCGAGTGGCTGCCACCCGCACGACCAACCAGGGCCGGGGACAAACTGCAACCGAAGTACGTGCCCTTAGCGGGAACCGAACCCGGGCCTCTCCGGACCGCAGGCTGACGCTCTAACCGCTGAGCCAAACCGGCCAGGGCCTTGGGCCCCATTTTCTAAAGAAGCAGGCACGGGTGGAAAACCAATGGAAGACTGTGTTAAATTCAAACTAAGTATTAAATTGACTATGAAAACATACTCAAATAGTATTTGAAAATGTCGTGAACGATAATCCAGAAAGTACCATTTTGCAGGACATGTGAAACTGTAACACCTCAATGCCAAGAGATGGTTGGGCGCCTGATGCTGGGGCCTGGTGGCTTAGGTTGCCCCCTACTGTGCTCCGACTGTGGCTTCTTTCCACTGTAGTGTTTGCGGATGGCTGCCTGCGAGTCTGATTCACGTCTCTGCCGTGTGTCTCATTATTTTGATGGTATCCATGTTTTGTTCTGTGAAGGTAATGACTCTCTTTTGTTCTCTGAATGTTCGCACAGCTAGTTCAGTGAAGGAACCTCTCCTTCTCTGTCTCCTTTCTCTGTCTTGCAGGAACTGAGGGTGGCTTCTGGTGTGTTGTGTGGCTCCATCATTTCCTTCCTGCCTCTCATCCACTCCATGATGTAATTCTTGGCACTTTTACTTCCTTTGTAGAGTAGGATGTGATGTCATAGAGAAGGGGACAGGGCTATCCAAATTCTCTCAATTGCTGGGAGGAGCTGCCCAGGTGTGCTGAGGGGCCTGTACTCAGGAAGAGAAACAGGGAGTCCTCCACAGTGAGTAACCCCACTTTTGAGTGCACCCAAATTTCTGTTAAAACGTTGCCCAGTATACTGGAGTTTCCTCTTCGGCCCTTTCTAGTTTTAATCAGTTTGCCTTTTGGACATTCCCAGTTCAGCTCAATTTTCCTCCTTTCTCCTCTGACCCCTTCTTTCTGCCATACTGTGCCTCTCCCCCCAGCCCCACTCTTCCTTGCTTGCTTACTTGTGTGTGTCTGTGTCTGTTGACCTTCTGCACATATCTTTTATGAGTGACCATTAGTGTCCTCAGCATTGCCTATCATTTGGGGTGATGCTCACCCTATACTCAGTCCATGTGCCCACAGTGTCTGCTCTCAGTAATTCATAAGTATGCACTGCTCTACTTACAGTTCTTCTTATTTTAAAAATTCTGTCAGCATTTTTGTTTTCATGTCTATTTCTTTCCCTCCCTTCGTTGTGATCTAATCTTTCCCCCTTTCAGCTGTTATGCAGTTTCCTTCTTGCCTTTTTTAAGCAATATTTTTATACGATAGTCCTCTTCCCTGCACAGCTATGCCTGTGTTTCTCCCCCCTTTCCCAGTTCTCAGTTCAGCTCTCTGTGTCCTCCTGTGTGAGGACAGTTTTTCTTCTTTCCTAATGACATACCTGTCACCATACCTTCTTTCTAGTGTAGCTTATATTTTTATATTCTTTAAAGGATTTACCAACTATGACTAAGGGACTGATCCAGACTGGGAAAAATGGGGAAATTCCTGGGAAGTAGGAAGGGGAGACCAGGAAAGTGGCCCCAATGATGAGGTAGGGCTGTATGTAACTCATTGGAGGACCCGATGAACAGGACATTGGCTAGTGACTTCGTGGAAATGTGTCCATTGATAATAGGAGAGGCCACAAAGCTATTATGAACAGATTTGGAAGCCTTTTCAATTTTTAATTTTTAGAGTACCCCTATTAGTTCTTAATAATTATGATCCTTCCAGTAAAACCTCACAAATTAGAATTCTAGGATCTTTAAGTTGCATGGGGCCATGACCTGTGCAGAAAGTTCTATACAGGATCTTTCATGAGGTGTTGTCCAGCCTTGGGGGAAGTCACTGTGAAGGTGTGTCCAGACTTGTTTCTCGTACCTAGAGGTGGCCCCTGTAACCCCTGTTGGTGAGCAGTGTGGTCACTGCTGTTTACTGCTTTCAGTACATGTAGCTCAGTCCTGGCTAAATAAAAGGACTTGATTTTCAGGGTGGATGGTCTAATGCCTCTGGGAATAACTACGTCCCATACATTCCCCACACTTTGTTTAAAGAACTCCCTTCTACTTAGAAATGAGTAGGACAGAGAGGGAGAGAAAAAAATGGGACTCCGTTTGTAAAACTGAGATGGGCTGGATGGGAAGAGGCAGGGATTTACTTGAAACTAATTGGAAAAGGCAAAAGAAAGGAAACTGAGCTGAACTGGAAAACATACTGTAATGAGTTGGGTTTTTCTGCGTTTCTTTCCATTTGGGTCGTGAAGGACTGTTTTTTTTTTTCTTTCTTATTTTCTTTTTAATATAAAAGAAGTTGATCAAAATGTGAATCCAGTGAGGTTATTTCTGACCAGCACTTTGTTCTCTGCTGTTGGTAATATTCAGGCTCCATGTTTCCAAGGGCCTGGAAATTTAGGAAACATTTTAACAGCCTGAAAGCATGTCTTTAACCAATTTTTAATAAAGGAAATTTTGTACATTTATTACATAAATGTCCAGAAAAAAAATTACATTCTTACTTTGGACACTTGAATTGTGTGATAGGACCTGATTTTGATAAAACAGCCCCTTTAAAAATTTAAGGAAACACTGCATGATTCACACATGTTTTCATTTTGTATGCCTCCATTTAATAATCTATGGAACTTATCTTTATTTTTATTTTTCAGGCACTAGAAAAACACCCCAACTCACCAATGACAGCAAAGCAGATATTGGAAGTCATTCAGAAAGAAGGATTAAAAGAAACAAGGTCAGTATTTATATTTGCATTTCCCGTTTTTATTGCTTTTAATGGCCACTAGTTGCAAAGCAATAGATATCTCTACATTTTGATATTATAATTGATTGTGAATTAAGTAACTACCTGCAAATAGTTCTGTGACTGCCAAATATTTGGAGGACCAAATATTTCCTTGGAACTGCCTCTTGGCTTAATCAGTTTCATTGGACACATTAATATTGAGCGTGCTTGTTAAACAAAGCGCAGCACTGTGTGAATTATCCACCTCCTGGAATCACTCTCTCTCTCTCTCTCATAAGAGGAGATTGCATTTCTGAAAGTGAGTAGTGAAAGAGAAACTCTTTTACAGGCTTAATAGATAGGTCCCACGGTATAAAGATGAACTCACGCTGATAAAATCCAAAGTGTCAATGAATGTGGTTGAAAATTATGTACCCGTATTTAGAACTATAGTTGGAGCATCATTAGCTAGTGAGCCTTTTTAAAAAATAGCGTTGAGATAAGATTCACACAGCATAAAATTCACTATTTTAAATGTACAATTCAGTGGTTTTAGTATAGTCACATATTTGTGCAATTATTACAACTTTCTAATTTTAGAACAGATTCAGCAGCCTGAAATGAAACCCCGACAACCATTAGCAGCCATTTACCATTCCCTTCTCCCCCAGCCCCTGGTAACCACTAATCTACTTTTTATGTCCATGAATTTGCCTATTCCTTATATTTCATATATATGGAATCATATAATATGTAGCCTTTTGTCATGGGTTTCTTTCACTTAGCATGATTTTTTTTCCCAAAGTCCATCTATGTTGTGGCATGAATCAGCGCTTCATTCCTTTTTTTTGTGGTACGTGCCCCTAGCAGGAACCGAACCTAGGACTCTCTGGTCCACAGGCCGAAGCTCAACCACTGAGCCAAACTGGCCAGGGCACTTCATTCCTTTTTGTTGCCAAATAATATTCCATTGTATGGATGTACCATACTTTGTTTATCTGTGATGATCCTTTATTTTATTTATTTGTTAATTTTACAGTGTTGGCTTTAGCCAGTAGTTTAGGACCATAGAGATGACATTACTCAAGGAGAAAAAAAAGAAGTGTGTTAGAGGATAAAATAACCATCGAGTTGTCATATATGTGTATGTAGCCATCTGTGTGACATAGTGATTTTTGTGTGTGAAGTTTGTCTATCTGCAAGCCACTGAGCATGCAGTGGCTGTAACTCGGGGAAAATTGAACCTGCCGAGCAACCTTTTGACTGTTTTGACCGACACTGAGATAGAACTGCTGGAAGGAATGAATATCCTCCCAAGGCCAGCTTTTCCTAAAACATCGGTATTACCTACAACTCCTATAACTATAAAGTGTGGGTAATATCAGCCTCTACCTGTTTAAAATGGATCTTTTGGGAGTGCGATCCAGGAACATCACAGTGTAGTGTAGTATAGGACACCTAGCTAAAGTTTTCTTCCCTGTCTTAGAGCTTTTTCTGCCTGTTCTGAAGAAAGAACCTAAGATAAGTTAACCACACTATGTTTGCAATAATTGTTCTCCCACCAGTGTGGAGGGAAAATGCCAACTGAGCCTACAGCTCTGTTAGAGGAGGTCCTGTTATTCTAAGCAAGATGTCAATGTGAGGAGTTAGGGAAGAAAATGGGGATACCTGGAAATTAATTTTCTCCTCGCTGCCTGTCAAAAACCTTGAAAATATTGGTGCCATTTAGAAAACACTGAAAATGTTTGTGCTATAGCGAGAAGAAAAGAGGGGGTAAAAAAGTCTAAGGACTTCAAGTCCTGTCGACGGTGGGCAGTGTGCCAGAGGAATCTGCCAATGCAGACAGAAAAAGCATATCCTGTGAGCAGACATTTGAAATTTGTTCATTCGTTATTTTTCTCTGCAGGAGTGATGACTATGCTGCTATCAGTTATGTACCTTCAGATATAAAATTCCTGTGCCATGGCTCTGAACAGCATTTTAATTACATTTATTATTATAGCAGCATTAGTTTCTATTTTTCAAAATTCTGGTCTTCCCAGAATGGTATATTAAAGGGTTTTAAGCATATGCAGTTTTAGTTAAAACAAAAAACAGAACAGCTTCTTTAAAGAGGAAAGAACAGTGAAATTGGAAACATTGCCTCCCATTCCTCTAAATACAGTCATTCCTCTGCCCCACCCCCAGTTGTGTCCTTCTCTAGAGAAAAAATAATATTTGTTTTTTTGAAATACTGATAAACTAGTACCTGCCAAGAATTCATAAGTTGAGCAGTCGAAGAAAGTGACGACAGTTCTATTTATGTTCTATTCTGTAAAATTAGTTTTACAGGGAAGGGGCTCAGATTATGCATTTTATGTTCTCATTTATTTCTAAATTTGTTCAAATCTCCTCCTTCCTGTCAGCAGGGACCTGTTACATATGTCTGGTATATCTGTGACTACTCTTGCCTTGTTTTCTAGTTCTAGTTTGTTATTAGAATCATCTGTAAAATAAAACTATATAGAATTTGAGTGAGTTTGGGGGCTTTCCTACACGTTATGTATGTTTTAGTAAGAAGATTGTAACATTTATGTTGCCTACTTAATGTACTAATTTTCTGCCTTCCATATTCTTAAATGTTTTCCAAATATTTAAGGTAGTCAAGTAAATGAAGTGTAATTGTATCTATTTTTCTTAAGTAGAGTTACATTTAGAAATTCCATCATCTTAAGGTCAGACATAGCCATTTAATTTCTAGGTATTTATGAATGATGTGTTTTCCAAGAAATGCAGGGTTGTGATGTGCCTGGCAAAACTCACGGGAGTGATTGTGAAAGTTACTAATGTGACCATAACCCTCTGGCAGTCTCCTCTATGGATGAGAGGTCATGGTAACAGTCCTCACCCAACAGTCCACCTCTATACCTAAGCATTCTAGAAAAGAGGAGATTGGGTTTGTAATTCATCACCATTCCCAATCTGGCCTCAAAGTAAAGCCATGTGTCTCGGGTACCCTGGGGGTCTTTATTGTGACAAGCAGGGCTCCCGTGGCATCTACCTCACTGCACTGCAATTTTATCTTTGTATGTCTTCCCACCGGTCTGTGAGCTCTTCAAGGTACCTACCACTCCTGGCATTCAAGAGATACTCAGTAATCATTTGTTGAGTCAATAACCTTCTTTCTCAAGATGTTAATTTGTTGGTGCCTAGCGATGACTTTGGCTTACATTTATTTAGAGTTAGAAGCCTCTTGTGTTTTTCATCCTCTTCAATAGTTTGTTTTAATCAAAAGGAATCAAACAGTTTTGTGGGCATCTCATTAAATATATGCATGCTGCTAATCTCTAGCAGATCATCTATGAGCAAGTAAAGTTATTATACTGTTGCGTGTTTTCAAACACTGTAAGTGCTGCTGGTTTAAACTTGTAACATATAATAAAAATAACACCAGTAATTTTGGCAAAGCTGATGTATTTGAATGTGTTCAGTATATGTGATATTGTTGATTTATTTGACTGAGATGAAATTCTTGACAGCTTCTGCTACCCTTTTTCTTTTCAAGTGACACTGTAAATTATATACTTTTCATATAGATATGATAAAAAGAGGACATCTTTTCTGTATCATGTTCTGTGTATCTTCTTCATGTTATTGATGAAATGTGTAGTGTATGATTAAGTACTGTTTGGAAAAGCCAGACTGAAATAAGTACTTTCCATGTGGTTTTAAAAAGTATACAGATAATAAATTGTCAGAAGGACAAATGATTTTTATTGAAAAATATTAATAATATCATGGCCTGATTTCCTAGGATTGGTTTTTTGATGAAAATATATTTTGGTAAGTTTTAATTTCCTTCTATATAACAGCATAGAAGATTTTTATCAATACAGTTTTGCTCTCATCTATCTATACACTTGCTTTTACTGATTCTGAGTGATTACTTTCAGGCTTCTATTACCTTGTGTTTATGAGTTGCCAACAATTGATAAAACATAGCAGTATGAATGCTTTTCAGATGATCAGAATCTTGTAATCAGTCAAATGGCAATGCTGCTTGCATAGAAGGGATAAAAATACACATTCCAATCTGACACTTTTGTGATGGGTATCTAATATCCCTGCTCAGACTCTGGGCTAAACGAATGTCCACTTCCTCAGGGAGTTAGTGTGCTACTGTAGAATATGGTCTTGTCTGCAGTAATTAAAATATTTGTAGAAAAAGAGGAGTAACTCCATGTAAATTTGCCAGACTTTTGGAGTGGTCTTAATTCTGCTTTTCTGTTTTGAGTTTGCTTTGTAATTCCTTTAAAAAAAGGACTGAGGGATTTTTGATGCCTGGGAATATGTTTTTCTCTGCTTATATAATTATTAAAGTGATGCTTCCCAAGAGGTGTTAGCTCAGTCATAGTGACACATCTGGGTCAGAAGGTCGAGGAGTGAGGCTTGTAGCACTTACTAGAGAGAGCAGAACAGCCGTTCATCAGTGAGGCATAATTTCTTATGTGTTGGGCATTATCATTACAAGATACCTGTCATTAATGTGGCATGAACTGTGATATAGTTTTCATGTTATTTGGAAATAAGTAAATAGTTTTTTAATGGAGGCGAGGCAGTCATAAAGTAAAGGCAAAAAAAAAGCTCACACAAAGCAATATAAAACCATACTTGGACCACACTTGGATTGGGTCAGGGCAATATTTATGAAGTGCATTTTTACAATATTATAGTTGCCTTACTTAACAAATGTTATTTTTTATCAGCCATTTATAGAATAGCAGCCTGTAATTACATATCACAGTATGGACATTTGAAAAGATTTATAAACAATCTCGGTTGTGTTTAGTGTTACTCAGAATATGGATATACTTTCAGTTTTGCAATGTGAAACATGCAATTGACAATCTAAGATTTTGTAATTATTCTGCTATCAATGAAAAAAATTTTTCCCCACTGATATTTCTAAGAATAAATTTGTTTTTAGCTACTTGTCTTAAGGCTTTGCGTGTTTTTTATTTTGTAATTTC